ATCGCGAACGTTGCATTGTTACGAGTTTGCTTTTGCTCACTGCTCCACTCCTTCTGTCCTTCCCCTTCATACTTCACCGCTGTTCCTTAACTGATCCTTGTTTTGTAACACGACGGTTCAGTTGCTGCGGCGCTTGACGCAGCTTGACTCGTGGTATGTTATAGTTTTGTACTGCGATGCGGCCATAACGCTGAATTAGCATCATGAAAAAAGTGAATTGAGAACATCAGGTTGTCTTAGCCAAGGCGAAAGTCATCTTGGGTGCAGTTGTTATAGAGCCACGCTGTCATTGAAACGAACATCTTGTTTGGTAGAACTTTCGACAGGCAGAAGAATGCGAAACAGTTTGATACTCTATCTCATTGTCACTTACTGCAGATAATGTCTTCAAGAACTGATTACACAATGAATACTCATCCTGCTTATACCGTGCATTATGGTACATGTCAATAGTAGTGAAAAAGTTGTTCTTTTTCCTTTTCTTGAGACCAAGCCGGGTCAGGGGAGTTCTCTGAAACACAACTCTCACCTGAATCTATTGGACAATTTTGCTGGATTTAAAGGGAAAGAAGTTTGTAAACGTGGTGATGTCGGTCTTCCTTTTTGTCAGTTTCATGATAGGATCATTTCGACTGCCCTTCTTTTCATGAAATTGAAAAGACAGAGCGCTGATCTCTGTTTTAATGCCATCAATCTGGAGTAATTTATTTTTTTAAAGGTGGAGCTGACAGCAGCTATGTGGCAAGCATAATGCGTTTGCGTAGTCCTGTTTCCTCGCTACAGAGTGGTACTTACTTATCAACCTCGCAAAGTGAGTGACCAGACCGGAGCTCGAACCTCGCGGTTCTCACTCCGCTAATGCCAAACCCCGGTGTCTCTGTATGGGAAGAAGCTGAATGCTTGATGGATCGAGACTAGCTTTTAATCATGCCTAAATCACGACGACACAAGAGAGCATTTGTTAAATATAATGTGTTTCGTAATGGACAGGTACTTTAACTAATATCTTTTATTACAGTATTAGAATAAACGTCAAAAGTAGAACGAGAGCAGAGGTTTAGTTAGCAGCTGATTGCAGAGCATTACCATTGTTTTTTTGGTTGGGCGGCATAATCATGTATTGAAAAATATTAATTGGATATTATAATTGCACTTGCATCGTAACTAGAATTACTGTTTATGTAAAAGTGTATAATATTATTATATTGTATTCGTGCCATGTATCGAGCTTACTTTATGGGGATTTTAATACGAAGTGTCACTAGAAGTGGATTTTCAGTTATGCGAGCTGGCCTGATGGTACTGAAGAATTAACTTTCCTGTCCGTGCCTGCACAAAGTTTTCCTTTCGAACGTATTTGCTCTTGCTGAAAGCACTCAAAGGATGAAGGATGAGCATTTTGATCAGCCGAAGTAACTTTGTAAAGGTTATGCAGCTCAGCAGTCAGATCTGCTTAATTGAATCGTATGACACACAATAAGTTGCCAAAACCTGGATGTAACGAATGAACAAGTATAAAACTAGCCATGTGAAAGTTATTCCATATCAGGCAGACCAGTATTCCCGTTTCGACCAATACAGTAATAGACGAAGTCTTTCACAACCGAGGATGTTCTCATTGTTCATGTGATGTAGTCTAGTTTCTTGAGAGAGAATGACTGAGTGAAAAGTTTTCAGCTCAGAAGAAACCTCAGAAGCGCAATCTTCCAATTGCTCTAATTTACCACTGCCAGAGGTAGGTTTTTGGCGACTGTTCTTTTCGCAGCATTTTTCCATCCGCCTTTTCTGCCACGTCTGATCTTTTACAGTTTACCACAGAAATAACCAATAACCAGGCATCACGAAATCTAGAATTTGTTAGGTGCTGCTTCCGACTGCGCACGAACTCGATTTCGCCTCATATCTTCGACTCCCAGATGGTTATTATGGGAGTGAAATTATAAAACCATTGAATTGGCTCTTATAGGCAACGAGGTCAGTCGTCGATTTCTTTCAACATTTTTGCTATGCATTTTATGTATATTTCTATTGTTATTACGTGTTTTTTACTTAAAAGTATTTTTTTCATGGTTAGGTCAATCGATCGCTCTGCCGATGGTCACAGTATCCTAGCCGACCGCTTCGGATTCTTCCACAACGTCTTCCAGCCAAATATGTTCACCTCTGCTCCTGTTCAGGAAACGCTTCGGGGTCCGCCTGTAAACAGGATTATTAACGTGAGTTGATTTATTGTTTAAAGTTAGCTGCAGATAATAAAAGACGACGCTGTTTCATATTTCAATGAAACCGACGTTTTACGTTTGTTGTTGCCCATATTCCATATTTCATCTTCATCTTCCATCGCCGCTTCTCCTTTCGGGTCGCGGAGACAGACG